ATGTGATAGGGAATAGTCAGTAAGACTTGAATTCAGGACACATGAAAAGTAGTAAAAGGAAAGGATAATCAAAAGATAGGGACAGTATAAATGTTGAAGCACTTTAATGTGCATTTGAATTTCATCACAAAGGTAATGGGAACCGTTAATGAGATTTGTTGTTGTTGTTGTTAAGTGCCGTCGAGTCGGTTCCGATCCATAGCGACCCTGTACAGGGTTTCCGAGGGTGTAAATCTTTACGGGAGTAGAAAGCCTCATCTTTCTCCTGCGTTAATGAGATTAAGCAATGAAAAATGATCAATTGCAAAATAGAAAATGTGGAGGATGGATTGTAGATGAACAAGTCTAGTGGCAGAGGAATCAATTTGGAGTCTTGATATCATAGTTCTATTGATGAAGGCCTGGACTAAGGCAGAGGCAGTTTGAAATGGAGAGACAGAAATGGATGCCAAATATGTCAGGGTATTACACAGATTATATAGGGCATGGTGATTGACTGGGTGGGATGGGATTAAGAGAGGGAGGAATCTGATGTCTGGCTGGGGTCTTAGGTATGAAAAACAGGAAGGAGACATTTGGAGGACTAAGTTTAGAGTTTGGATTTGTTAAATTTGAATAAATCATACGATATCCGATCCCTGTTGGCGCCATGTAGGATAAGCACTAGAGTGCTAGCCACAAGGTTGGTGGCAATTCAAATCCACCAACCACTCAGAAACCCTATACAGAATCACACACAACAATATGAGCTATACAGGTGATATACAGTAAGCAGTTGGTATGTGCTTGAGTAAAGTAGAAATCTGTAGCTTAGTTATAATCACCACTTTGAAAAGTGGAAGAAAGTTGACTAGTGAAATTACATAGTGTGAAAGCCTTGGCAAATAATACTGAGGGTCCAGTTGAGATGAAAAATCTACATCTATTTGCTGTGGTTCTCATGTGTGCAATGGTAGAGTTCGTCAAGCCATGATGGATTAAGTGCCAGTATAGAGGGTAAACAGAATTCAGGTACGTTTTCTTTCCAGTTGTCACTGAGTCAGTTCTGACTCATGGTAGTGACTTCGTGTGTCAGAGGAGAACCGTGTTCCACAGGTTTTCAATGGATGAATTTTTCAGAAGTAGATATTCAGGTCTTTCTTTCGTAGTGTCTCTGGACAGACTTGAACGTCCAACCTTTCAGTTAGTAGTTATGCACATTAATTGTGTGCACCATCCAGGAACTTGGTGCACTAGGAGGGCTTGATTAACTCTTTCTCGGGTGGGAATCTTGGAAGGCTTCCCAGACCTGTGTTTTGGAGAATGAGTTGGATTTTATCCTGTGGAAAGCAGGTGTGAGCTGCTGTGTCACAGAATGAGTAAATATATGGCCTCTTTGGGAAATAAGGCTATTGTGGGCAGTTAAATTGTAGGAAGGAGAATTTTGGGATTGGGGCCAGATCATGGAGGACCTTGTCAACAGATTGGTATTTATTCTTTAGGCATTGTGCGGAGGTTTAGAGAACAGAAGGATGCCATCCGAGTAACTTTGACATTGTATGTAGAATGTATTTAAGATAGTGGAGGAGGAAAGAAACATGTCTAATTTGAATCTGAGGGTCAGTTAAAGTGTGCCTTGCCTAATTTCCTTCTTTAGAGGGAACTGAGTGTTCTGGGGGAGGCAGGGAGTGGATATAGACAAGATATGTCTCCATTCCGGAAAATGCCTTTTTCATCTCACCCACCTTCCTGTAGCTGTATTATTGTGGAGGATTCCTATCCAGAGTTCATTCTTCTGTCACGACAGGCCTAGCGTCAGAAATCGTTTGAAAAATTGGGAACTTATGAATGAATTTCTTGGATTCTTCCTTCTGTTTGTGACAAGGTATCTGTGTCTTTAAGGAAAAGAAAGTAGAAGGGAGCTGATGGCCCAAGTAGGTGGAATTTCCTTCGAGGGGAAACCTGGTAGCCCTATCCACAGGTGGTTTAGAAGGCAACGTAGTCTCTGACAAATAAAAAAGGAAAAATCTCTGGACTTTATTCTTCTCCCACTGTGGCTTGCTTGGGTCCCTCTGGAATTGACCATTTCCTTTGAGGCATGGTCCTGGATTTGATAGATCAGACCTGAGATTGCAGTTCATGTTTTATGCAGGTTATGGTGACTTTCATTAGGACAGTGGTCCAGGGTCTGCGGCCCTTCAACATCCAGGTCTTGGCCCTACCTAAGCTCTGGGAAAAATAAAACAGGCTAGGACTTGCTGGGCACTCAGAGCCAAGTGGTTTTGAGGACTTCTTCCAGATCCAGGTGAACTCTTGTGGCCTTTGAGGAAGGAGCACCCTCTGTGCTCAGCCTGTTTGGAAAGCTTGTTGGAGTAGCCCTTGGTAGCAATACTGGTCATGTGGCTCTGGTGGCCCTGGTCCTGAATGCAAGGCATTTCTGAAAGGGGTAAAGGGTAATGGGAATCCCCAAGTAGATTTTGTCCTTTGGTTTGAATATGGATGTTCCATACCAGGGACAAGCAAATACAGGTGGTAAGGATTCTGGGAGACAGTCAGCCAAACTCTGCGAATGACCCGGTTGTTTAGAGCACCTCTCCCTCTCCATGGGATTTGGCTGGCGTTTTCTTTAGGTTCCTTGCTTTAGGACTGAATCTAATAACCTCTCTACCTTCTTTTTCTGCTCTTTCTCTCCTTGCAGAAGGAAAGCGAGGAGCCTTTCAGGTTGTGTCTCAGGCTCTTTGGGCCTTTTATGTTGTTAATTCTTCACCCCTACCTCCTGAGCACGGGGTGTGTGTATGCGCATGGTCTGTGCTTCTGAGCTGCGGTTCATTCTGACAACCTGTTTCCCCCAAAGAAGTTTGTTTGCATGCTTCATGTTTGTGTGTAGTCTTGCAGACATCCTGGAACACAGTGTGAGGATGTGTGTGCCGGCATGGGTGTGCATTCAGTGTAGCATGTGTGTGCTTACACTTGGTTTGACTGCCTTTTCTCACCCTATTTTGCTCAGTGTGTGTCTATTTCTACCTGTAGCTGCAGACTGGCTTGCTATAAACCCTTGCTGAGCCCAGCTTGCATGCACACTCTATTTGAGGGCAGGAGCTGCTGCAGGCAATTTATCTCTTGCCAGGGGCCCTAATTGTAAATGTATTTTCTGCTGTGAGCAGGCTTCCTGGCCTCTCTTAGCACAAGCTCTGTTGACCAGTTGTGTGGTTCCTTCCATGCATGTGAATGCAGAGTATACTAATTCTCTGTGCCTGCAAGCACTGGTTCTTGAAGACAGTGAGGGCTTGCTTAGCCTGTGATTAGGAGCTCTAGTGGACACTATGAATCCTCCTAGTATGGGGCTGTTCCATGGTCTGTAGCCATAAGTGCAGAATTCATGCTCACCTTGTGTTTCTTTATGGTTACAGGTAGTATCTATGCACCTACCTCCTATAGACACTTTGTTTAGATCTCCTTCCACTCCCCCAATGATCCTTCAGTGCCTTGTGTGTACAGACTCCTGCAGACATGGTGTCCTCTCCCAAGCATATTAACTGCTCATGATCTGAACCTGTGAGCCCTGGTTCCCAAAGACTCTTTGTGACTTTATTTTCTTAAGCCCAGTGATTTCTGGCATGCATTTATTTTCTGAGTAGGAATTAAGAATCTTCTCAGTCCAGTTGCTGTTTTCTTCATAATTAGTAGGCTCTAGGAATATAGAGATGAGCACCCCTCACAAACAGCTTTAGAGGACTTAGAGGCTTTCTGTTACTTCTCACCTACTGTTGTTTCTTCTACTGTACCCATGTGTCCACTTACGGCTGCCTCGCCTTCCCTTTACTACTGTCATCCTTCTCACAGAAGCAGGGCAGCAGGCAGATGAAGTAGAGTGGGGCAGGAAGGGCTGTGGGCAGAAGGTAACTTGAGAAGGGTCTTACCAAGAAGGATCTTAAATCCAGAGTTCATCTGGAGCCTTCTGCTGACCCAGGTAATTCTTGCTCACCTTCTTCACCTATTAGTCTTGTTTTGTCTGTCTCTATTCTATTCTGCCTCGTTATATCTGTAATTTCTTCACCTTACCTCTCCCCTAAACATCACCCATTGTGTCCAAAGCTAAGCAGCTTACTTTGCCTCCTTTAGCCTACAGTTTCTTTGCTCCAGGGTGATAAATTAGAGCCCAAGTTGCAGGATGCAGAGAAGTTGTTGGGGTGGGGTGGAGGAAAACTACCAGGGCAAGAAGCCCCCAACCTGCTGGCACTACAACACCATACACCACTGTTCTCCAGAGAGCCCTGGCACATTGCTTTGTTGTTGTTTTTAAGTGTATGGAAATCTTTAAACATGGGTTTTGTTTTGTTTTTTCCCTATTCCTTACTTAAATTATTTAGTGCCTCCGTTTTCAACTTCTTTGTAAATTCTCATAAAATCTACCAGGATGATAACCCAAGTATTTAATCTGCCCTGGGTTATCCAGTTATATAGAGTTTATCAGATAACTAAGATGTGCAAATCCTATGTGCCTGTGTGCTCAGTGTTAGTAAATCAAGAGTTTAACCCAAGCTAAGTCAAATCATAAGATGAAATGGGAATCCAGAAAGCCAGGCCTGACTCCAGGTAGCCAATGGTCTTAAGAATGTGGCAAGAAGACATGACTCTATGAAGTTGTTCTTTTGCTTTTCTGAGGCCTGGATACATAAGTGGACTCTTATCTTGGGCATAGCTGATTGCTGTGTATACCAGTGAGTTGTATGAGGGGATATGAGTTTTGGCAATGAGCACACTCCCAGTGGACCGTAGACTTGGAATCTCAGTGAGCTGGGCCTTACTTACATCCTTTCTGTTCCCTGGGAGGAGAGAGATGAAGTACCACTCATTTCAGCAGCCTTCTTGTTGCACTGGCTGATCAGGACATTGGCTTAGACATTCAAGCTGTGCCACTTAGACTGCTCTGGATTTCCTACTTTACTGCTCACTGCCCAGCTATTGGCAGCCACTCATTTCTCCCATGGCCTAACTTTTTTTTCTATTTATTTTAAAAGATTCCAGATGATGGTGACCCCTCTCTGCCCCAGTGGATCCCTGAAGGGTAAGTGATTTTCTGCAAACTTTCTGTGGATTTCATACTGCCTCTCTTGCTACTTTTAGCTTTACACTGGGACACAGTTCTCTCAGCTAGATCCTGGGGAAAGAAGAGGTTCCTTTATAGGCTGGTTGGTTCTCTGGGACAGAAGAAAGAATCCTGCAGATTGATTCCCCGGAGGCAAAGAGGGTGCTTTACAGAGTGGTTTCCTTGGGGCAGGAGAGGGGTCTCTGAGGCTCCCCCATTCTTGCTTCTAAAATTTCAGATCTATCTGGTGGTTCTATGCCCATTATGTAGAAGAATGACAAAACTAGAAAAACATCTGTATTTGGAAACTTCCTCTTTCCATTCCATGGTTGATGGGTGGCCCATTAAATTACTCTGGGCTCAGGCCAGCTTCAGTTGTTTTGACTCACCTACTTATTCCACCTTAATCCAGACATAAACAGCCTCCCTTTTGAGTTCTGTATGTTCTGTCTGTGCTTCTTGTCTGGGGGTTTCAGACCCATGTGATTACACAGAGAGTCATTTTAAGTTGTTCAGTTGCCGGTAACTAACTGCCTGCTCTCAAGAGCCAAAAGGATTTAAGTGTTTTCCCCACCTCCCTCCCACCCTGCCTTCCCTACACTACCCATTAGTTCTCAGGCCCTTCCTTCTCCCCTTGCTCTACAAAGACCTTTGGTGCCAGAGTTCTCATTGACTGCCTCCTTCACTTGAGGTAAGTGAAGAAAGACCATACTATCACCTACATTTTCACATGCTCCTTTTCCTTGTCCTTGTTTTCAATTGAGAGTTAACCACCTCTTTTTTGGAAGGAGAGCTCAGTTTTGTTAAAAAACAAAACAAAATTTCTTGGCTTATGTGATGCATACTGTATTTTTGGGAAATAGCTACAAACTTTTGATACCAGTTGCTGCTTCAGTGACCTTTAGCTTCTTTCTTCTAATAATTCTAAAATATGTGCATGCAAGTAGAACGTATCCAAGATGTTTTAAAATACCTTGTATATGTTCCAAGTGGTGGTTTTCTAAATGTTTCTTTGTTGTCTTCCTTCCTTTCTTTCAGCTTAGTTCTAGGAAGTTTTCACAAGTACAGAACCTTCCTAGGCCTAGGAGTCTCATTGATAATGAAGCCACTGCCCATGCTCCGGGAGCTAGTCTGTTAGACATGTTAACATGTTGGGTCTCCAACTCCTGATCTTAGCCCAATTTGTAGCTTCATTTTCTGCCTTGATGATTGGCTGTACTTGCTTATTCTTCTGGGACATTTCTCTTTTTAGAACATGTGGTGCACAACCCAACCACCTCACCCTCCCCACCTCATCACTTTTATTGCATCCAAGTACATGAGTTCCTTTCATTGAGGCTCAAACTGCTACAGGGCTGTGAACTGGTTTAGTCATGGTAGATGGAGCCAAACCAGAACAAACCCAAAATTTGGATGATCAGTGACACTAATCAGAATGGACAAATATTACAGTTCAACACAAAAGCAAAGAAGAAAAGGCAAGGCGTAGAAAATCTAGATGAAAGGAAATAGGGAACCCAAGGTGGAAATGAGGAGCCTGCTAACACATTGTGGGGAATGCAATCAATAATAATAAAAATTATTTTGTTTTAAGTGGATTTCTAATAAACAGTTGCAGTTGGCAAAAAGGAGTCCTGGTGTGGTGCAGAAGGATAAGCACTGGATTACAAGGTCAGTGGTTCAAACTCACCAGCCACTCCTCGGAAACCCTGTACAGGGTCTCTGTAAGTTGGAAGTGACTCAGTGACACTTGACAATGAACACAACAGTAACAATTGACAAAAAACAAACAAAACAACAACAACAAAAAAGATTACAGGAATGGGAGGCTTGGAAGAGGCATAGTAGCCTGATGGCACACAGGCCACATATTCAGGAGCCTGATGGATTATTTGCAGGACTGTGAAGTGACACACATTCTAACACACATTCTAAATGAAGTGGCCACTGTTTTTGAGGTGGGCACTGTTGTTTTCTACTCAACTGAGCAAGATATTTGGCATGCTCACGCTCTTATTTTTTAAGAGGGATATTCAGTTTATACCAGGACTTCAACCTGTAATTTTTATCATCCCAGTTCACCCACATTAAAAAAAATTGTGTCTGTTTCCAGTGTTATTTTGTCAGCCATGACTGAACTGGCTGAACTTATTCAAAGCCCTGAACTGTTAGTACTCAAAATGTCACAGAGATTTTGTAGTCCATTCCTTTTTATTTTTTCAAAAAGAAATGGCACCAAGGCCTGAAGAGAGGATGGGGTTTTGGCAGGGGATATGCAGTGAATCTGTAGAAGAATTGGTTCTAGAATTCAGGTGGTTGTTGTTGTTGTTGGTGTGCTGCAGAGTCTGTTCCCACTCATAGTAACCCTGTATGGGGCTTCCGAGGCTGTAAAGCTTTACGGGAGCAGAAAGCCTCATCTTTCTCCTCTGGAATAGCTGGTAGTTTCAAACTACTGACCTTGAGGTTAGCAGCCCGACTTGTAACCACTACACTACAGGTTTTTTCAATCCAGTTGCTCCAGCTATAATTTTTTATGGTCCTTGTTGATGTGTCCTTGGGTTGGACCAGCTTCTCAAAGACCCACTGCTACTTCCTTACTGAATGATCTTTTACAAGTCTCCTATTCCATCTACCCTACCTCCTCTTGAATATGAGAGCTTCTTCTCCAGGAGACCCCTTTTCTTCAGGAGGCTTGGATAGACAGAGCTGCTAACGTCTTTGCTCATGGATGTCATTATTTGGCAGTTTCCCTCACTTAGGCAATAGGTTTTTTCCTGTAGAGCCACTCTTATGGTCTCTGTTCTAGCACAGACCAGGTGAGACTTATCTTTGAAGAGCAGTGTTTCTGGCCTGGGCATAGGTTGGAGCCCTCTTGACAACCAGTTCCCACATTGCTTTATGGAGCACCCCAAACCCACACTGTTGAGTCGATGTGTGACCCCAGAGTAGAACTATTAGATAGAATTTTCTGAGCTAGATTCTTTACAGAAGCAGTTTCCAGGCCTTTCTCCTGTAGAGCAGCTTGTTGGGTTTGAAGTACGAACCTTTATATTGGTAGTTGCAATAGCTGATTGCAAACTATTTGCATCATGCATACTCCTTTATGGAGCACAAGAACTTTCAAACAAACAGATGTCTTAGACTGCCACTGTGAGATAAAAGTACTCTCACGTCAAAACCAAGATGGAACTGAAGGGCACTCTGAAAGCAGAGTCCATTGTTTATCACTCCATGGTTTTTCTTTGTTATTTTCTGTCTTAGCCCTCTTAAAGGCATATGGGAGAGGTCAGTTCATCTTCCTCAAAGGACAGGGAGGGATCAAGGAGAATAGAACACTGAACTTAGCAGTCACTCAAGGCAGGAGTGAAGGTACTAACATATTTTCTTCTCTCCTCAGGCCAGCTGGCGGTCTCTATGGCATTGACAGCATGCCTGATCTACGTAGAAAGAAGCCATTGCCACTTGTCAGCGATCTGGTGAGTGAGAATTGTCCAGACCGAGTCAGTAAGTAATCTTAGGGAATTCCCCATTGGACTTTGGCAAGCTGTCAGTATTAGAAGTGGTCCATTTAGTGACTTGTTTGCCTTACTGCGACAATGGTGACTTCAGTTAAGATGTTGTTAATCTTCCTTCATAGTTAGATCCCCTAGTTCTTCATTGGCCCAGCCTCCTACTGGGTTTGGATCCTCAAAACTGGGCTCCTATAGGTATCTGGTTTCTCTAGGTATCGCTAGAATCTCCTCTGATTACTTAGAAACTGCCTCTAGTCCCCCTGACCTAGAGCACTGAGCTTGGATTGGGATGGACATGGCACTTTTTTGGAGTCAAGTCAAAGTCTCCTCCCTAAAATGTACACTTTATAAACTGGCTCTGATTCCTAGTCCTTAACCCAGTGCCTGACATTGTGAGGTAATGATAAAAATATGTGGAATTCAGTTAAAGTCAACTTGGCTTTAATGATCAGAAGCTCCTATTCTGGGTAGCGCACTTATAAGGCCTGATTCAGGATTAGCTCGAGTTTTTTGTAACTTTGTGGGAGCTAAGTGGGTTCTAAGCATTATCCAGCTTTACCACAGTCCCAGAGCTCTCGGACTAGAAACTGGACCCTGAACTCTTCTTCTTGTTACTAGTTTTAGATCTGATTTTCTTTTTCTCTCTCTATTCTGCGTTTTCTATTCACTCCTTTCCCCTCATCTCTACTTTTCTCTGTTCCTTGCCCCCACCCCAATTAGTTTCTTTCTCCCTAGCTATCTGAATGGAAATACCTTTAGCCATTTTAGCTTTATCATTTAATTCCCTCCTTTATTTTCTATATTTGTATGTCTTTTCCTCCTTTTCTTTTTCCTCTTCTCCCACCAGCTCCTTATAATGATACACTTTGTATTTTCTTATTACCTTGTTTTGTTCCTTGATCATCTCCCACTTCCTTATTTATATTTCTCTTTTCTTTTCTTCCTGCTTTCCCCCCTAACTCTCCTTCCTCCTTATTTACTGGCTTAATTAATAAAATAGCTGAATCCTGTTCATTTCTTGTTTCCTTTTCCCTGTCTTTTACTGTCTTTCCCTTTAAGACATAACTCTCCTTACAGTAGGCGCTCTAGACTCCAGGCCCTGACCAGTTGTCTGGGTTGAAGACAGTTTAAAGGGATAGATGCAGTTGGGGTTTGGTTCCTTACTCTGGACTGTACAGCCAAACCTTTCAGTTGCCTGTGACTTTTATTATGCTCTGGGGTTGGCGTTAACAACATGTTGTTCCTTTCTCTGCCTTCCTCTACGCAGGCTATGGTAAGTTTCTCCAGAGCTCCTTCCCATTCTCTTTAAAAGTCCACATCCCATACTGACTGAACTCCTCCCAGCTGTTCTTCTACCTTAGGACTGATGCTGTGACTTTTCTCTGTCTAGTTTTTGCTGTCCCTGGGAAACCATGTCCCTTTCCAGGGCCTGCCACTAAAGTTCACGCTTGGCAGATTTGGTAGACTCCTCTCTACAAGAGCCCTAGCTTGCTGGCTTAACTCCTGCCCTTCTTGTTTTGACTGAGGCTGCATTGCCCCTTTCACTCAACAAGTGCCCTACTCATTTGGCTACTAGCCTTACAACCACCTGGGGATTGTGTGGGAATGGGATGGTGGGAATGGAGGCAAAGAGGATAGCACAGAATCGCTGTTCTCAGTGATAGTTCCTGAAAGTGACTCTGGCAGTTTTGTGTCTATCCTATTCTAAGTGACCTGTTTCCTACTGTACTTTTCATTTTCATTTACCTTCTTAATAAACAAGGAGTTTCTGAGGGATAGGATAGTGAGGGAAAGGGAACTCTCTGGGGATGAGAAGAGACCCTGAGAGACATATTGTTCTAACAATTGTTAGAATAGTCCTTTAGGGGACTTGAGTTTTAGATCTTAACCTGAGACACTTGGTATCTGTTATCCAAAAGCAGTCCCTATTAGTATAGTAGAAACATAAAGTGTGGTAAGCTAGAGTTAAGTGGCTTTGGTCACTGAGGTTTCCCTTCAGAACTTTGTCTGCCCTTGGGGTTTGTGGCCAGGACTGACATCAGATCTTCTATTGCAGTCTTTGGTCCAGTCTCGAAAGGCAGGTATTACTTCTGCAATGGCTACACGTACCTCTCTCAAGGATGAAGAGCTGGTAAGTGACCCATGGACTTTCATGAGTCCACTGGTCTGAGACTAGTGATTACTCTGGAGCAATGGTGGTGGTGGCAGTGTGCCGTGGAGTCAATTCATAGTGACCCTGTTTAGGGTTTCTGAGGCTGTAAATCTTTCTGGAAGCAGAAAGCCTCATCTTTCTTCTGTGGAACAGCTGGTAGTTTTGAACTGCTGACCTTGAGGTTAGCAGCCCAACTTGTAACCACTATGCTACCAGAGCTTCTTTTCTGGAGCTATAGCAATTGGGAATTCAAAGGTGTTGGGCATACATCATTAACAAAACAGATAGATGGCATCCTGTCTCAGTTTTCCATATTTGAGTAAGCCTCAGTCTTATGTTGACCTTTGGGAGGAGACAGTCCACAAACCCTTCTGAAGCTCATGATTTCATGGTGGCTGGAGTGCCTTCTGGTCCTCTAGAAAGCCTGACTTCCAGGACAAACCCACATTGGATGACCAGGAGCACAATACATTGGAGGCTTCTTTTTGCCAGTCCGGGATATGGACTGGGTCAGGCTAGAAAGTCTTTTCAGTTGCCAGAGGGGAAGCCAGGGTCCTGATTGTCCTTAAAGGGCCTCAGTCTTGGTGTCTCCCAGCAGAAGTCTAAAATCACTGTGGGTGATGGGGTATGTGTCTTTCAGAAATCCCATGTGTATAAGAAAACCCTGCAAGCCTTAATCTACCCTATCTCGTGCACCACACCCCACAATTTTGAGGTCTGGACAGCCACTACTCCAACCTACTGCTATGAGTGTGAGGGCCTGCTCTGGGGCATTGCCCGGCAGGGCATGCGGTGCAGCGAGTGTGGAGTCAAGTGCCATGAGAAGTGCCAGGACCTGCTCAATGCCGACTGCCTACAGCGTGAGTGTCCCATGGGTGAGGGTAACGGGCAGGAGATGTAGAGCCTCTCCAAAATAATCTGGCAATAAAGAAGTAGCTTTGTTGAACTATCCATCATTCTTCCAGTCTTCCAGTTCTAAAGCCTTTCCCTTTTCAGAGAAGATAGATCATAAGTCAGAGGACATAGCCTTTCCCAGTAACAGGTCTCAGAAACATTTTTAGGAAAAATTCTCTGAGCTGTCTGAGATCCTCTACTGGAGCTAGAATCTCTTTCAGGATTCACATGATTCCAGAGGCTGAGCATAGTGTCCATCCACATTGACCAAATGCCTAGAGCTAGTTGAATCATGAACAGAAACTAATGAGGAGAGAATTCTATGATGTTCCATGCCCCACAGAGAGACATCACATAGTCTAGACCCTAGTATTCATGGAAGTCGTATTTGTTCCTTGTTCACAGATGAAGCAGCTGTTCAGCAGCATCAGAATCATGAGTTTCAAATGGATTAGGCAGAAGTCCAGAAGGAGAGGTGCCAGACACCCAAAGGCACTGGCTAAATATGTGGCTTGTGTTGCCATCATGGAGTGGGGAGAATCAGAGAGGAAAAACAACAGTAGGTGTTGAACTGTTGGTAGGTAACCTCATGGTCAACCTTTCTTTCTGTGTCTGGTTCATCCTTCAGGAGCTGCAGAAAAGAGCTCTAAACATGGCGCTGAGGACCGGACCCAAAATATTATCATGGCCATGAAAGACCGCATGAAGATCAGAGAGCGGAACAAACCAGAGATCTTCGAGGTTATCCGGGATGTCTTCACCGTGAGCAAAGTTGCCCATGTGCAACAGATGAAAACAGTGAAGCAGAGTGTGCTGGATGGCACCTCCAAATGGTCGGCCAAGATTACCATCACTGGTGAGCAGACTGAAGTCTTGGCGGACAGGAAAGCCCTAGGCTCTGAGAAGCAGCCAGGGTAAGAGGCAGCCTGAGTGTGAGGGAGTAAGGGTTTGGGAAGGAAGATGACAGACCCAAGAGAGAGAGGGAGAACCTCATTATTCATTACTCCTTACCACCTAAACCCTGATGCAAGGAGATGCTGGGAAAGGCAAGGCAGGTACCTGCAAACAGTATGGATAAGAATACATGGATTTGATAACAATATGGAATTATGGATTTAATTATCAGTCTGATATAAGAGATTAGGGGTGGGAATGGGGACAAGGAGGAGACCAGGGGACAGTTGTAATAGCAGGTGGGTCAGGCTGAAGTATGCATATGTTAGAGGGGGTAATGACTAACGTAGGGATACATGGTTAGTTAGGCTCAGAGCAAGGAGATTCTTGGGCTGAGCTTTGAGGAAAAGGCTGATGAACCAGGACTAAGGAAATGTGTGGAGGAGCAAAAGATTAGGGTTCCTGTGCAAGCAACAGGTAGACTGCTATGGAGGGCTTTGAACTTGCAGAGCATACTCAGAAGCCTCTGTCTATATGTGCTTGGGTTGCAGTGGTATGTGCCCAGGGCCTACAAGCCAAGGATAAGACAGGATCCAGTGACCCTTATGTGACGGTGCAAGTGGGCAAAACCAAGAAGCGTACCAAAACTATTTTTGGAAACTTGAATCCTGTTTGGGAGGAGAAGTTCCATTTGTAAGTCACAGAGGGCAGACCACTGTTTTGCATGGGATAATGTGTATTTTGGGAGCAGCATTAACTTTTGCTATTTTGAGCTTAGGCCCTAAGAAGGATTGGACAGAGACAGTGCGGGAAAAAACGATTTTTCACGTACTTCACTTGGGCAGCAGCTATTCTTTTCTGTTTCTTTTCTTGGACTATTGTATTAGGGTTACTGTGCCCAAGCCTTGTTTTAACTCAGCCAATGAAAGGGACCTGAGGGCAACCCATACTGTTTTTTTCTTACACTAGATAAAATGTTACTATTATTCAGTGACAGAACCATGGACTGACCACCCTACTGTATACTTCCCAGTATAACTGCCTAGGAGTAGGGAAGGAATGTTTTGTCATTTATTTGGGTGATTCTGGTGTAAAGATAGAAATTTAGGTCTGGAGGAGTTTCCATTTCCCTAAGGGCTCTGCTTTTCTTTCTGCCTCAGCTCCTACCCATACTCATTGTTCCATTATCTTATTTTCATACAGATTATTTCATATTACAGTAAAAGGTGGGTGTTGAAAACTGATAAGCTCAACTGAAGACTTGGGTTAGTGCATAGAAAATCAGAAAGTTAGGATCAGACCTTTGGGTTTACTCCCATTAATCAGGCTGGCCATGTAGAGGTTTTCTTCTGTTGGATGTTGGAAAGCTCATGTAGAAAGGGATTGGGGCATAATAAAATTAATTTCTGCAATCCAGATGCAGCAGTTACTAGGGGAAGCATCTGTTTCTTTGAGAATCTTAATGGTTTCTGTTTGAGTCTGTCTTATTAATTCTAAGTGAATTGGCCTTGTGATAATTTTTGCCCACATTTATCCATTTAATAAACAATTTACTAAATTTCCATCCTCTACAAGATACTATACATCTAGGAATGAAGAAGACAATCCCAGACTTCAAGATGTTGATTTTTGTATTATTTTTCAATAGACCCATAATTACACTATAATATTTTAGTGGAATATTGGAAAGATATGTGAGCACAGGGAATGGAGCAGCTAATTCTGTGGAATCCAACTTGTGTGAGGCAACAGGATCCAGAAATCAACTGTTGGGGAAAAAAGAATATGAGGGGAACTTGGACACACTCCCTTCTGCAAAGCAAACACCATAGAGGACATGACAAATTCAAGTCACCTGGATATTAAAGGATGATAGATGCTTAACAGACACAGAGCAAGGATTAGATAGAAAACTAAGCAGATGTGACAAGACCGACTTTGCTGCTTTGTTGTCTTGGACTCTGAGGTGGAAACTGGCTGTTGTTTCCTAGAGCTCTGTAGCATCTGTACAGCTGCTTCTGTTGGTGTTGGTACAGCTAGCTGCAATTGATCCTGCCTCCTTGGTCTTAGGGCAGTAGGGCTAGATGGTATTAGGTAGAGCCATCAGACCCAGGAATGAAGAGCATTTGCTGGAGTATCCTGACTCAGCTGGAGATTTAGAATCATTATTATCTGATTACTTCTCTCTTCCACTCAAGTGAGGTTGACGGGGCTTTGGGGAGGGAATGGAAATAACAGGAGTGGGGGCTGTTGAGTTGAGCCTGCTTAATTCTCTCACAGTGAGTGCCACAACTCCTCTGACCGCATTAAAGTACGCGTATGGGATGAAGATGATGATATTAAGTCCAGAGTAAAGCAACGGCTAAAGCGAGAGTCAGATGATTTTCTTGGCCAAAGTATCATTGAGGTTCGGACACTGAGTGGCGAGATGGACGTCTGGTACAACCTGGGTGAGGAAAGAAAACTAGAGAAAGTTACTGAGAAGGGAGACTATGAAGAGGGTATCTGATACCCTCTACTGAATCTACTGAAACCACCACTCAGTCCCCAAAGCATATCTCTAGACAGAGCCTGCTTTATCAGCAAAGATCTAATTATGGATAGGGGTGGGGTCAGAAGGATGTGGGAGGATGGAACGCACATTGACTGGGTAGTCTCTAGGTGTCAGAAGTCCCTTTAATCTTCATACTTATCCCTAATCCTTTGAACCCCTTGACCATTCCTATGCTTCCACACAGCCAGTCCAGAGATATTTGTGGGATCTGTGGTCTGGAGTGAGTTCACCCTATTGGGTGGACCCTTGAGTTAGTGTCTCTTTTCCTTTGTGTAAAACAAGGATAGAGGCTTTCTAAGCTGTCTGTAGTTGCATTGGTATCAATCTTTGGTCTCTTCCCAGAGAAAAGGACAGACAAGTCAGCTGTCTCCGGGGCTATACGACTACAAATCAATGTGGAGATCAAGGGAGAAGAGAAGGTAGCCCCATACCATGTGCAGTATACATGTCTGCATGAGGTGAGTCAGCCTTTGGCCAATGGAATGCCAGGAAGCAGTGCTGGGGATTTACCTTACTCCACTTCCTGGATAAGTAGGGTTTCTTTTTTCATCAATTTTTATATAAGTAGAATGACTATGTGGTTTAAGATCTGGGTTCTGTTTTATTATTTTACCCTTGGCTGACTTTATTACCCTGAACAACCCAAGTAACCGTCCTGGTCTGAATGCCTCTTAATATGAGAACTGTCTCCTAGGGCCACAGGAGAGATTGGGCATAGACTTGAAGGACAGAATTTCTGTAGAATTCTATTCATATTCTCTTACACTGGACCACCAGTGTAGTTTTAATACATATCTAATCAACGTTCTCAAATTGATGTCACTTCCACAAGGGAAGCAATGTAAAGCAAGTCCATCCTGGCTGACATCGTTCTGGCTCATCAATTGATTAAAAAAAAAAAAAATTTTTAATGGCAGCCATATCAATGATCTTAGCCTTTTATGCACGGACTGTTTTTAGAATGTAATGAAAGCTGTGGAGCCTCTCCTCAGAAAGCTGTCCAAATTTCAGGAGGTTCATAGACTCTTTGAAGTCTATCCATAAATTCTACAGAATTAAGAATTCCTGATAAAACAAGGCTTGGGCTTTGAGGTCAAAAGTCTGACTTGACTTCACTCACTCTCCAGCAGAGTGACTTTGAGCAAGTTTCACAAACAAAACTGAGTTGTAATGTTTTCATGGGTAAGATAGGCATTATAATTCCTACTTCACTGACTTGTTGAAGCACCATCTGTTGTTATTAAGGGCCATTGAGTTGGTTCTGACTCATAGTGACCCTGTATAGGGTTTTCAAAGTGGCTGGTAGGGTTGAACCACTAGTCTTATGGTAGCAGTCCAATGTTTATCCTACAGTGAAAAGTATCTAGTATGGTACCTCATGTAAATTTTTGGTCAGAAAACTTTCCTTCCCTTCCTGAATTTACCTAGTCCCCATCAAGGCACTCTCAGCCAGCAGAGCACCCAGCAGCTCTGACTAGAACAGTTCTTCAAAGGTAGATACCGTTACTGAGTAAGCCCTAAGGCCTCTGGAGGAACCTAGTTTGTGCTTTTCCAGACCTGTCTGATCAATGTGATCTTTAATTCTGTTCTTTTTCTTTGCTCTGTTTCCTGCAGAACCTTTTTCATTACCTCACAGATATTCACGGCAGTGGAGGAGTTCGGATCCCTGACGCTCGAGGAGATGATGCATGGAAGGTGTACTTTGATGAGACAGCCCAAGAAATTGTGGATGAATTTGCCATGCGCTATGGCATTGAGTCTATATATCAGGCCATGACGTGAGTCTTCTCTGGGACTCTGGGAAGTGGCTTCTAACTCTTGGCATGGCTAATGAAGACACACTCACAGGGTGAATGGGTTCTCGATGATGGTGTATACAGTGATTCATTGGTTTGTTTTCCTCTCTGGGCTGGGTGAGGTGGGTCTGTGTCCCAAGCCAAAAATGGTAGATGAGGGGCTTCAAAAGTTCATGGAAAAATGGAATTAAAAGATAATAGAATTTTTCTATAAACTTTTGAAGTCTCTTGTATGTATAAAGAGAGTGTTTATCATTAACTAAAGGAGAATGGAGAGAAAGAAAAAGAACACAGGAGTATATGAAAGGACCAACCTGCCAGAACATCACAGGCCTGAGAAGACAGGTTATGTGTATGTATAACAGACAAGTTGACCAAGATTGCTTTGGGGATCAGAGAGTACACTAAGCTGTAGGGAAAGGTGTTGTGTATGGAGTTGTGCAGGATTCCTCTAACAGGAACTCCTGCTCACTGTGAAGAGGTGCAGCTTGTCTGTTGATGAGGCTACCACTAGATGTATGTATAGGAAGCAACCCTAGGTAAGCAGAGGCTAACTATTTATTGATCTGGCTCCATATAAATTTATATGGAGTTTCTGCTAGGTGTCACTTACTATGCGAGGTGCTAAGAACACAAAGATGTGTAAAATAAGGGGAGTAGTACTGGTGTGGCACTGTGGGTTAATGTGCTAGACTGCAAAGCCGTTTGAACTACATAGTCGGTGGTTCAAGCTCACTAGCTGTTCCTCGGAAACCCTACACAGGGTCGCTATGGATCGGAATCAACTCGACGGCACTTAACAACAAGAACAACAATGCTTGGGGAATTCTAGCTAATAGAAGAGAAAGATCAGTAAACAAACAATCTTAATATAATGTGCCAAGTGCTATGATAGAAGTTGTTGTAGTTAAGTGCCGTCAAGTGGATTCCAACCCATAAGGACCCTGTATAGGGTTTCCACACCAGGCGCCACACCAGGACTCATGATAGAAGTGGTGGTGGTGGTGGTGGTTATATGCTGTTGTTGTTATATGCTGTGGAGTCGATTCTGACTCAGCGACCCTGTACAGGGTTTCCGAGACTATAAATCTTTACGGGAGCAGAAAGCCTCATTTTTCTCCCGTGGAACAGCTGGTAGTTTTGAACTGCTGATCTTGCGGTTTGCAGCCCGATTCATAGCCACTACGCTACCAGAGTAGTCATAGGTTATTTGGAGAACGTTAGGGAAGGGCACGTTGGGGGAGGGGGACTCCTTAATGAGGTGATAGTTAAACTAAGTCTTGAAATAGAAAAGGAGGAAGGTGTTTCTTTTAGATCATGGGCATTTAAGAGCTAAAATGTAGCACAATATAGCATATTCAAAGAATTGCAAGAGTTCATTATAGATGAAGAGAAGAAACCTTGTAGGGATAGGTGTGGAGAATGGATGTCTGCTAGTCTTGCTCTGTTCACTCTCCCTGGTTGACCTCATCCAAAATTATTGGAGGGCTCTCCCATATCTTTTGCTCCACATCAGACCTTTTCCTGTACTTCAGACCCAAGTCCAGTTACATATAGAGTATTTTCCCACAAGCATCACAAACTGGGCATGGTCAAAAATTCAAATCAGCATAATCTTCACCAAATCTGCTTATCTTTCTGTATTCCTGATTTTAGTAAATGGTACATTTTCTACCCAAGTGTCCAAACAGAAATTTAAGAATCAACCTAATTTTTTCCTTGCCTCACTTTCTCCTTTTTTTTTAGCCACCTCTCCATGTTTCCTACTCCAGTATACAATCAATCTTTAATGCCTCTAGATTCTATCTACTAGAAATGTTTTCAATCTGTTACTATTGCTATAGCTCAAGAAGCCCTAGTAACGTCGTGGGTTATGTGTTAGGTTGCTAACCGCAGGTCAGCAATTTGAATTCACCAGCCACTCCATGGGAGAAAAATGATGCTTTCTGTTCACATAAAGATTTACAGTTTTTGGAAACCCTATACATTTGCTATGATTTGAAACTGACTTGATGGCATACACAACCACCATGGCTATAGCTCAATAAGAAGTAGTGGTGCAAATGCATGGTACTAACCAACAGGTCGGCAGTTCTAATTCAACTAGTCACTCCATGGGAGAAAGAGGAGAAAGTCTGCTTCTGTAAAGATTTACAGCTTTTGAAACCTATGGGAGCAGTTCTACTCTGTACTAAAGGGTTATTAATGAGTTGAAATCAACCTAATGGCAGTGAGTTTGAATGTGAGAACTCAGTAGTAATGTTAATGATAATAGAAGCAGCAGCAACTCCTATGCAGCATTTCTTATGTCCTGACACTGGTCTAAGCACTAAATGAATGTTAACTTATTTAATCCTTATATCAAACTTATGCTGGTGGGTATCATTATTATTCCAGTTGTTCGTTGTTGTTATTGTTAAATACCATCAAGTCTATTCCGACTCAGTGACCCTATATAAGGTATCTGAGGAGTGGCTGGTGAGTTTGAACCCACTGACCTTGAGGTGCAAACTGACCTTGCGGTCCAGTGCATTATCCTACAGTACCACACTACAGATAAGAAAAATGAGACATACAGAAGTTAAGTGATTTACCAGAGTCACTGAGTGAAAGGTGAAGATGAGATTTGAACCCAGATTTTCTGGCTCTAAAGTCTGTGCTCTTAGCTACTTCTCTCTCCCACTAAGTGCCTCATTGCTTCTTGTCTGCGTGATTGCAGTAGCTCCTCAGCTGGTCTTTCTGTCTTAGTCACATCTCTTTTCAACTTTTTTGTTAAAAAATAATTTTTCATCCAAGTGACATTTTTAAAAGACATATTTAATCACACTATGCCTTGTTTAAAATTTACTGTGATTTTACTGTAAACTTGTTTATTGTCTATTTTCTTCCCACTTCTCTCATTTCTTGCTACTCAGCTATAAATATATTTGTAATATATTATCATTTTTCTTTGACTGAATACTTTTCTATTTGATTAATTTCTGGTACTTCTTTAAAACTTGACTCAGCCCTTCTTTCTTTGGGAAACCTTTTGCCTAGCCCCTTCTAACCTTAGCCTTTATGATTTAGGTCATTGGCCCTGGATTATTAGTTTACAGATTAACACTTGGCACCATGGTGGTGCAGTAGTTAAACTTTCAGCTTCTAACTGATATGTCGGCAGTTTGAACCGGTGGTTCTCTGTGGGAAAAAGATTTGTCAACCTGCTTTCAAACAGTTACAACTTTGGAATCCCTATAGGGCAGTTCTACTCTGTTCTGTTGGGTTGCTATGAGTTGGAATCGGCTTGATGGCAGTGGGGTTTTCTCTTTTAACCGTTAGTTTTCTCTGTGAGACTTTCAAGTTTTTGGGTTCTTAATACCCAATACACATAGTTGGCATTCATTGAATGTATATTTGAATTCACAGACTATGAAGAGCCGTATATGACTAGGTGATTGGAAGCTTCCTATACAGTAAAGCGATCTTTTGTTCCTTGGTCTTTGTTGCAAGCTCTAGGGATCGTTGAGGGTGAAGGTGATTTGTTTTTCAGGCACTTTGCATGTCTGTCCTCCAAGTACATGTGTCCTGGAGTGCCAGCAGTGATGAGCACCTTACTGGCCAACATCAATGCTTATTATGCCCATACAACTGCGTCTACCAATGTCTCTGCATCTGATCGCTTCGCAGCATCCAACTTTGGGGTGAGTGTGATGGGACTCATTTGTATCAGTAAAGCTTGGTTTTTCTTGGTAGCTTCTAGGCTGTCAGTAAGTACTTTTTTCCAGAATCTGGACTGTTTCCCTTATTTAGGGCATGCACTTTCCTGGTGTAAAGGTATCTGGGAAGTTGAGTCATTAATCAGAATGTCACCTGACTTAAGTTCAATATAAACTGGATATGTATCTCTAACCCATCTCAAAGATTACTTCTTTATGGATGACATTGCTGATCCCCGGCCCCCCCCCAGATCCAATGACCCCAGGTTTTCTGAATTAACCATTTTTGTTGTTTTTGTTGAGTTGAGTCTTTCTATTGATGAATTTATGTCATTGAGTAAACCAGTCAGATATCTGTTCCATTCTGTCTCAGCCCATTATATATTTACTTAATATCTAATGACACTGTGGGTTAATGCACCAGACTGCAAAGCTGTTTGAACTGCAAGGTTGGTGGTTCAAGCTCACCAGCCACTCCTCAGAAATCCTATCCAGGGTCGCTATGGGTTGGAACCAACTCAATGGCACATAACAACAACAACAACAGTGATATATAACATAATCAATATGTGTGTTCTTAGAATTCTATGCTAACAGTCTACAGGTACATGCTTCCACAGTTAGCTATGTTTTTGTATAAAAATAAACTTAAAGCAATAGTTTATTTATTTTAACACTGAAAAAGTATAAACCATCTCCCAAATGGATCAGTATTTCTCCCTCTCATCACTACCAGGCTATGACCATGTAACTGGTATGAGCTATTCCAAAACAGGACACCATGGATTCAGGAACAAGTTAGAGAATATGTGTGGGGTTTTCTTTACCCAATTAAGATGATTTCTTCCCAAAGGGATGGAGATGCACAGGCCATCTCCTGTTGACTCTTGTATAGAAATAACTATTTCTTCTCCCAGAGACTTGGCTTTCCCTTTGGCAGTATGAGATTTCCCAACTTGAGAAAGAGCTGCTAAGGCATGAAACAGGGACCACTTACTCCGTATCTTCCCCACACTGGTTGTTTTTCTCCCCATGGGCAGGGAAGGAGAGGATGAATCCCCAACCCAATGCTGCTTCCATCCTTTCTACTCACCCAGAGGTGATTCTGTTTCTGTCTCGGAAGCTCAAAAGACAGGTTCTCTCTCTCTCCCCCATTATATGTTTCCCACTCTTAGAAAGAAAGATTTGTAAAACTGCTGGACCAGCTACACAACTCACTGAGAATCGACCTCTCCACATACAGGGTAAGTGAAGAGAGGGCTGTGAAGGTGGGGTAGAAAACAGTGTCAGTTTCATTCCTGGGAGATTGTAAACCAATGTTGGCAACAAAGATAGAAAATTGATTTGTGTCATCACACCCACATGAGTGGCTAATGCCATTGACCACTGTGTAGGCAGTTAATTTTCCAGCCCCATTCATATCATTCTACCACACTCTCTGATGACATTTTCATTAAGAAGTCTCTTGAGGATAGTCTCTAACAGAAAGGCCCTTTTAACAATTGAGTTTTTAATTACATTTCCTTCTTGCTTTCCCCCCCATACTCCTTTTCCCAGAGGATTTGTGAAAATCTCTCTAGGGAGAGAAAAATTAGCTTACCTTGGACAAGTAACAAAGGTCATGTTCATTCCTACTATGGAGGGAGGAAATGTATGTATTCAGAGGATGGATTCCTGGGAGGGGACAGGATAGGGAAATGGGCAGATTCTCAGTCCCTCATAAGTGAGATTTTTTTAGAATGGATCAATTACTTGCTTTAAAGTGTTGTGAATTTCCAGAACAGGCAGTATACCCACATTAAAAAGTAAGTATAAAACAACCTCAAAATAAAAAAAGAAGTGAGGTTTTGATTATTTGTACTTATAGTGCCCTCCATTTGCACGAATAATGGAAAGTTGTTGACTGTGTATCTTATATATGGCATATAAGTAGCCATTTAAAAGTTTTAAAAATCACTATTCCTTGAAGTCGAGAGTGGCTCAGCCATTTCCTGTCAGCTCCACATGGCAGATTCTTCCTACAGTTCGTGCCAAAGAGAATCAAGTGGGGCATCGCAGGAATGTCCTAAAGCCTTGAAACACACTCCCAAAGTACTTCTGTTCAGAACTCTACTCCCTGCTGCTTATAGAACACCGGGAGAACTGGGATCTTTGGTATAGAAAGTACTGGTCTTGGATCTCAGTCTGGTCTGTAGTGTGGCTACACTTATATTCCAAGATATATGGTTAGAATGTAACTTTTGAAGAACTCACTGTCTGGGTGTAAAAATTTCCACCGAAGAAAAGTGTGTGTCTGTGTGTATGTATGTTCATTTGTGGAAATGCTCACACATTGCATGGGAAGTAGAATTGGGGGAAAGATGTGTTGCTTCTGGGCTGGGGAGTATTAACCTCTGCTTCTGGCAAGGGCTTGTCTCTGTCAGTAGGAAAAAGAGGGAGACCTATAGCATTGTAGCTTTTTCAACTAGGGAGAATCCCAGTGGGTGACCATTAGGTAGCTTTTCATTTCATTGCTTTTGGCTGGGAAGGCTTTCATATTTGTCTGCTCCTTTCTTACATTTGCTTGATTTGCAATAGAATAATTTCCCTGCTGGGAGCCCTGACCGGCTTCTGGACTTGAAATCCACAGTGGATTTGCTGACCAGCATTACTTTCTTCAGAATGAAGGTAAGTGATCAACAGGGCTGGCCATTGCTGGGCTGGGCATCATTGGGCAGAATAAGTATCATTGGGCAGACTTTGAGGCTACAGGATTCATCACCGCTAAGCCCACATTTCTGTACTGGTGGGCACTGTAGGATAAGCACTGGACTGCTAATTGCAAAGCTGGCAGTTCAAACCCACCAGCTGATCCTCAGAAATCCTATACAGGGTCACTATGAGTTGGAAACAACTTGACAGCATTTAATAACAACAACAAGAATAAACTTGCATTTCTGTAGATATGATTACCTGCACTTTCCTGGGTTATTTGTGAGAGAGCACATAGACTATGCATCAACAAAGATGCACTGGATAGTTCACCCATCAACTGTCTTGGCAACTTCAACCCAGGGCAAGGTGTAGGGGCCCATAGAGAGCTCTCATAAAGGAATCCGGAGTGGTTTGGAGGTACACTAAAAGAAGAGCTCACCCAGATGAGCAAGATTCTGGGTATAAGTTTCTTCTACTAATTGGCAGGTGCAAGAACTGCAGAGTCCTCCAAGAGCCAGCCAGGTGGTAAAGGATTGTGTGAAGGCCTGTTTGAATTCCACATATGAGTATATCTTCAACAACTGCCATGACTTGTACAATCGCCAGTACCAGCTGGTAAGACTTCTGGGATCAAGTGGGGCTGGCGCTTAGTGGCTCTTAAGAGTCTCAGCTGTCCTTTGTTGTGGTCATGGCGGAAGGGAGCTTAGGGCAAGTCTTTTAAATTCTTGATGGTGAGTGAGTTGTGGAGCATGGACCATTTATTTACACCATGTGATATATTTGTAGATGGAAAGAGGCCAGTGGACAGACTTGTACATACCACAGCTAAACAGAAGTGTTAACAAAATTTTCTTCTTTGGTGCTGAAAAAGTGAATCTAAATTCAGAGATTGAATGAATAGGTAAATTCTCACTCCATCCCTAAGCCGCCCTTGCCCCCTAAGATTAATGTTATTCTGATTTAGTGTGGCCCTCTGTGCAGTATCATGGAGTTCCAGGCTGTCTTCCCCTGAAACCTGTAGCTGCCTCTCTAAGCAACTAGCTGTTGGAAGCCTAACTTTTCCTTCTGACCACTTCTCTTGGTATTGTATTCTGAAGTACACTTACCAGGTGACCCTGTCCTTCTGTGAGGCTCAGCACTTCTCATATTCGGGACTAGCATTCTAAATCACTAATTGATGAATTTGTGCATTTATTAAGATCTTTTTAACTTTTTAAAAAGGCCCCAGTGTATGTACTGAATATTTGGGGACAGGCCATTTTCCCTGAATTAAGGAATACATAGCTATGAAAAGCATAGTGTGCTCCTTCGGTACATTCATAATCTAAAGGGAAGGTATTAAAGCAAATACTTATTCCAATCAGAGCAGTCTGTTAAACTAGCCTTGAGAAATGGAAAGGCTTAAACATAAGTCACTCTTAATCAGAAATCAGTTATTTCTGCTCTCACAAAGATTTAAAAAGCCTCGGAAACCCTATACATGGTCGCTGTGAGTCAGAACTGACTTGAAGGAATTTAAGAACAACAACAATATAGGAAAACCTACATAAAACAAGGGATATTTGAAATAGACTTTAGAAGGCAGGTAGGATTTGTACAGCAGATGATAAAATGACAGCTTAAATTTCTTGGCTATTTACCCTTGGATGACCACATCCAATTTGTAATGTTTCCCAGAAGTAGTACATCCTTGTTATTGTTAGGTGCTATCAAGTTGATTTTGACTCAGAGACACCCCATGTGACAAAATAGGGTTTTTCTGGCTGTCATGTTCATGGAACCAGATCTCCAGTTCTTTCTCCTACAGAAGCACTGGGTGGGTTTGAACTGCCAGCTGTTCAGTTTGCAGCTGAGCATGTAAGTATTTGCACCACTGGAACTCCAGGAGCACCTTAAGGGAGATGAAGCTCGTGTGCATGCTGCCTCCACTCATTCCCATATGTACTTTTTATACCAGCCCTATCTTTAAAACTTCCTCTCTTTAAGATATATAAAACTTCCCATTGGTTCTGAAGTCTACTGGAGGTTTTTCTGGGGCCTTTGTTTTGTCTGCCATGCTCTGTGCTCTTCCGTTATCCATCTGTGGAGTCTCTCTGGTTGGGGAAGACACTATTTTCAGCTTTGATATTTCAACCATGCAAGAGCCTATCTGAATATACAGACTGTATTCCCTAACAGGATGGACTCCTGGTGTGCCACTGTAGGATAAACATTGGATTGCTAACCACAAGGTTGGCAGCTCAAACTCACCAGATGCTTCTTGGAAACTCTATACAAGGTCACTATGAGTCAGAACCAACTTGATGGCACTTGACAACAACATTCCCTAACACGAGATGAACCTGACTTTGAAAGAGGGCTTTAAACCATTCAGGGACTTTCTAGAGCCTTTGTACTTTGCTAAGGAGCTCTGGTAGCGTAGTGGTTACGACTCAGGCTGTGAACATCAAGGTCTGCAGTTCGAAACTACCAGCTGTTCCGCAGGAGAAAGATGAGGCTTTCTGCTCCTGTAAAGATTTCCAGCCTTGGAAACCCTGTGCAGGGTAGCTATGAGTAGGAACCGACTCCACGGTACATCACAACAACAACAACAACAACTGCTTTTTACTTTCTCTCACTCTTCATTTGCTCATTATTCAGATTTAGACTGAAGTAAATTCTTGGTATAGTTTTGACTTTTTAATCTACTGACTTTCAGTCATTGATTCATTCTTCTCTCCGTTCATTTAACAAACTATATTAAGTTGATTTAGTATGTCTCTGGCTTTGGGGGAGCTCATAATCCAAAAAACTCACTGCCATTGAGCCAATTCCAACTCATAGAGATCCTCCAGGCCAGAACAGAACTGCTCCAGAGGGTTTCTGAGACTGTAAATCTTTATAGGAGCAGACAGCCTCATCTTTTTACTGTGGAACAGCTGATGGGTTTGAACTGCCAACCTGTGGTTAACAGCCCACTGTTTACTCTCTGTGTCACCACGTCACTTGGGGAACTCATAGATTGGTGAAATTGGGAAACAAGTTATTACATTCATTGTTTTAAAATTGTTTTATTGTTACTACATTTTATTGTAGTTGTCTGCTAAATCTATAAAGGGTGCTCTGGGAGCCCAGAGGGTAGCCAAAATACAAGGGATATCAAGGAAAATGTCTCAAAGAAGTAAACATCACCTGAATTTTGAGGATATTAACTAACAAGGGAGCAGGGAGCAGGGTTTTGGGGGAAAGGAGTGGGGAGAAGTACCCTGTGGAGACATAGAATGTTTGGAGACAGAGAATTGTGAATTAGTATGTTAATTTAAGGAAGTATAAACAATATAATTCCACCATTCTTCTGTCAGTTTGTCATAATGTGGTGGCTCATAGGTTGCTGTGATGCTGGAAGCTATGCCACTGACATTTTAAATATCAGCAGGGTCACCCATGGTGGACATATTTTAGTTGAGCTTCCAGACTAAGGCAAACTAGAAAGAAGGAGAGGGCAAACTACTTCTAAATGTTTAGCCACTGAAACATTTATGAATAGCAGAGGAACAATATCAGATAGCACCAGAATACGGACTATTGAAACATTATGATAAGTGCCAGATATAGTGTCAGAAGATGAGCCCCTCAGGTTGGAAGGCACTCAAAATACAACTGGAGAAGAGATGACTCCTCAAAATAGAGTTGACTTTGATGTGATGCAAATGGAGTCAAGCTTTCAGAACTTTCATTTGCTAATGGGGTACAATCAAAATGAAAAGAAACAGCTGTAAACATCCATGAATAATTGGAACACAGAATGTATGAAGTCTGAATCTAGGAAATTAGGAAGTTATCAAAAATGAAATGGAACACATAGATTCATATCCTAGGCATTAGTGAGCTGAAATGGACTATTTGCTATTTTGAATCTATGCCAGGAATGACAAATCAAAGAGGAATGACGTCACATTCATTATCAGAAAGAATATTTCAAGATCTGTCTTGAAGTGCAATGCTAATATCCAGACGCTTACAAGAAAGACCAGTTAATACCATTATTCAAATTTATGCACCAACCACTAAAGACAATGATGATGAAATTGAAGAATTCTACCAACTTCTTCAGTCTGAAATTGATCAAACATGCAATCAAGATATATTGATAATCACTGGTGATTGGAATCCAAAGGTTGGAAACAAAGAGGAAGGATCACTAGTTGGAAAATATGACCTTGGTGACAGAAACAATGCTAGAGATTGCATGATAAAAATTTTTAAGATGCATGACATCTTCGGTGCAAATACCTTTTTAAACAACATGAAATCGTGACTATATACATGGACTTCACCAGAATACACAGAGATCAAATTGACTACATTTGTGGGAAGAGACCGTGAGAAAGCTCCATATCATCAGCCAAAAGAAGGTCAGGGACAAATTGTGGAATAGACCATCATCTGCTTATATGGAAGTTCAGGCTGAAGCTGAAGAAAATTGAAACAAGTCCACCAGAGCCAAAATAGGACCTTGAACATATCCCACCTGAATTTAGAGATCATCTGAAGAACAGATTTGACTACTGACCAAAGACCAGCAGAGTTGTGGAATGACATTCAGAACATCATATAAGAAGAAAGCAAAAGGTCGTTAAGAAGAAAAGGAAGAAGGAAAAGACCAAAATGGATGTCAAAAAGACTCTGAAACTTGCTCTTCAGTGTAGAGATGCCAAAGTAAATGGAAGAAGTGGGGAGATAACAGAGCTGTGTAGAAAATTTCAAAGGGCAGTTCGAAAAGACAAAGTCAAGTATTAGAATGAAATGTGCAGAGAGCTGGAGTTAGAAAACCA